AATGTCTATGGACGTGACAAATTGACATTTCCTGCGAAACCTCATTGGAGACCTCAAATTATTGGTTAGTATTATTAGAAGAACAGAATGGGTGTAAGACAAGGAGACAAATTCAGAAACAGATTTTTAAATTTTTTTTTTACTTTCTCAATAATTGATTTTTGTTCATTTGTAAAAGGTCAGTTTAATCTCGCAAAAATTCCCGATAATAAAAAATCTGACTACATTTAATCTCTTACCCTGCATCTTTGTTGTTTATGATGAATTCAGTGCTGGCAAGTACACCGCTTTTATTATTATTGCAGCTTAGATGTTCAAATAGCTGCAGTACTCCGAGTTTGCCACAAGGAAAAGTGCGTACGCCTGTTCAGACACTGACGTGGCGGTAAGTACTTTTCCACGTCAAAGACCGTTTTTATAAATATGAACGTTGCTGTGGATTTTAGCGTACGCACACTCGAAGATCAAATCTGTGCGTACGCACATTTTATAAATGAGGCCCCTGGACGTGTCATTTGAATGTAAATGAGATTTGAGAGCCGAGGAGAAGATTAGAGTCGGCATGAAATAAAAATTCACTATATCTGTTTTCTAAATGCATGTTCACATTTGGATCTATATTGATCTTGTAATGTTTAAATCAAAATGACTTCTCTGGTGATGTATGATTCAGAAGACTTGGAATATGGCGCGTAAATCATATGGACCTCTTTAATGGCAATTTATTTCTGGAGCCTGATAGTCCTCAAAAAGGTTAGGAGCAAAATGAGGGTGAGGAAATAAACTGGAATTTCATTTGGTTGAACAATTACTTGGTTTCAAAAGCTACCGGGTAAGGACTTAAGTTAGCAAAAAGGAGGTGGAGCTTTAATCATTTCAGTCATTTCCATATTTCTTTCCTTCCTGTTCTCTGAGCTCAAAACGCTAATGTACGATAATGTAGAAAAGCATTAATCGCCTGGCTGAGCCACTTAACGCAGCGCAATCCTTATGCACACACACACATATGTGGTGCCTTCATTAGCGAGAGCTGTGGTGATGTCAGTCCCCTGTCTTCTGGCAGACAGCATTTATCTCTGCTCGTTTAAGAGAATGTCAGTGCTCGGGCTTGACACCTCGTCCTTACAGCTCTTGAGGTAGAGTGTGTGTGTATTGGAAGGTCACATGGTTCCCTTTTTAGCCTTCACATCAGCATTAGTCAGAGGTGGCTGACACTTAAAGGAACAGTTCACCCAAAAAAGAAAATTGTCATCATTAATTCACTCTCAAAACACAGGATGATTTCAGTAATATTCATGAGGTTGTTTTCCGTACAACGAAAGCAGGCAGTGACCAGGGAATGTCAATCTCAAAAAAGGACAAAGATGTAGTCCATAAAACTTCTAAAGTCATAAAACAGTTTTGTATGAGGAACAGACCATAATTTTAGTTGTTTTACTGAAAATGTTAGCCCTCCGCCATAGCTCTTTGTTTGCTGGCATGACACATATGATATTCCAGGTCTGATAGTGACAACAAATGCCACTGGTTCTCACGTCTCATAAATGAACCACCGTTTGAGTGCAAATGTGCGCTTATGTAAATAAAATCAGCTTAGACATTCTGTTAAATATCTCTTCTGGGTTTCACAGAAAAATAAAAATCTCACAGATTTGCAATCACATAAAGGTTGGTAAATGTTATTTTTTAAGAAATACTCCTTTTATGCACACTTAAAAGTCTTACCCTTAATATTGTGTCTCCAGGCCATGATAAACATTCTTTCACCACTGTGTTTAACTGCTAACTAGTAAAACTTGCACATATACACTGATAACAGTCTGCCCAGAAGACCTGAACATTAAGTCGAGAGATTATCAGTCATTCACACCATCATAGTATCCTCAAATGAACTTCCCACAGCAGCAGAGTATCCTGTAACTAAAACATCCAGAATAAATGTTTCTCACAGAAACATCAGTGATAAGCACCTCATACTGTTAAAGAACAGTGATATTTTTTTTCCCGCCCTGTAAATTATACACTTCAAAGCTAAGTTGTTTGCAAACTTAGCAAGTAAGATGAAAAATCAACTTAAATTTTGGTCAGTTCCTCACAAAATATATGGATGCATACATTTTATAATATGTTGTATTTATTTATTTTATTTTATTTATTTTTTTAGCTCATAATTTTGTATGTGAGCTACATGAAAACAGAAAAGTAAGTGTTTTGGGGTAAAAATGTCTTTATTGCTAAATCTTTTAAAATGTTAAATGTAAAATGTGAATATAAAAGGGCCAACGCTACGGCCTTGGGGGACACCCTATATTTCATACCTGCAAAGTTAACACAAATTTACAAAATCAAGTCAAAACTCAGTTCTCAACAAAAATCAATACAATTACAGCGGATCGATGGTAAAGCCATGCTTGAACTGAATGTCAAGTGGAAAAACAATCTCATGTCTAAAAACAGTAATTGCTGTATAGTCTCGCTCCCTTGCTCAAGTGTGGAGGACACTGGCTGCAACATGCGGCAGGAGGAATGATAGAGGGGAACAGAATTCCCATCTCCATGCAGGGGCGAAAGAGGCAAATAAAGAAAGAGTGGGAAGCAGAGCTCCCTATTTTATCCTTCATGGATAAATGATACTCACTTGTTGCAGATCCAGCCCTCCCTGAGCCACTGAGAAAAGCGGGTGAGACGCAAACTCTGAAGTTTCGAAAACCTTAAAAAGGCAAATAGGGGACAGAGACACAAACCAAGGCTTCATTTGCATGTCATTAGTCTTACGAATATGCATATTTCGCATGTACATTAGCGTCAATTTTGCTATCATTACCATTAGGCGTGATTTGAATTCAGACAGAAAAGCGTTAAAAAAAGATGGAGCAATGAACATTAATTTCATTATTAGACATTAATCTTACTCATCATGACAGACAGGTAAATATATCAAACAGACGATGCATCATAAGTGCACACGTCAAAGTTTCTGCCAGTCCGATTAATTACACCATTGGCAAATGACTTCACAACACTTTTAATGGTGAGGAATATTCATGAGCCCGATTGATCTTAATGCTACTGTTATTCATGCATAGGAGTGTTGATAATGAATAGCTGTGTCAACATGAATAAACATAACGGCCTCTTCTACTCTCTTCTGGAGACGTGTTGTGATGTGAAGTGAGTAACGGAGCAAACAATAGATTAAAGAGTGAAACAATAGACCTTAGTTTGGATAGACGGCATACTTCATTTGATGGGGATGAAAACAAGGCTGTGAAGAATGGAAGCACAGTTTGTTCAAAGGCCATTAAATCCGACAACTGAAGTAAGAATGGTTTTACCAACAAATTTAGTCGAAGCACTCAAAATATATCTTCCGACAAAACTGAGACTCGTGAACGCTTTTTACACACAAATTTGTTCAGCTCGTGTTTCAGGTTTTGAATATACTTCCATTCCTGAATCCCATTTTCATTTGTGCCAAATTAAACATGCCATTCACACTGAATAAGGTCTATTGAGTCTGTAAGAATTTCTCGCAATATGATATTAGCTGCATGACAGATTTATAACAGTGTAACCTAATAAATGGAACTAAACCTTAGATGTATTTATTCATGTTTGCAATACTTTGTTTACATGACTTCAGTCCATGTCATTAATGAGAACACACAACAAACAAGCTTAGAAATATTTCATAAACACAGACTGTCCCAACCAATACCTTTCATTGATGGACAGATGCTTTTTATTAAAGGAAATGGAGGCAGCATGCTGTCAGCTGTGTGGCGCTTTATGAAGCTCTACAATATTAAGTCAACTGAATATTAAGTATGTGCAGTGCACACAGCATATTTACAGGTGGGGTTTGTGTTTTTGGTGATGTTAATTGGATCTGCTTGATCCCAGCAATAAGTATGAGGGTTATATTTGAGACAATTAAACCTTGTTCACACAGGCATTTTTCATTTTACTAGACTGATTTACAAAAAAAAAAAACGTATTTAAATGCATTCATACTTTATAATGCATGCATTCATACAATTAGATAATGTAAACCTGATAAATGTAGCACCATGGTGAGAAGCCATAATATACATCCACAATGACAACTTGCTAATTTCAGCTGTAAAAGAAACAACTCTCTTGGCATCATGATGACACCTACGTCATGAATCTCACAATAGATGTAGCTGTACCAGACATTGACTATACTGTCTGAACAAATGGATTCCAATTTCATTCCTTGCAAAATGTCACTTTGGACAGCCAATCCTGAAGACTGGATTTGAAAAACAAATCAGATTTGTGTGCAGTGTGAACAAGGCCTTGAAGGAATAGTTCGCCAAAAAATGAAAATCTGTCATTATTTGACTTGGACTATTTGTGGACTGCTTTTGTGATTATGTTGTCATTTTGTTGCTTGACAACTCACTTTCATTATTTTAAAAAGAGTGGCCAGGATATGCGAAATTTTCCCATAAGGAAAAAGTAATACATTTTTTAAACTAAGGTGAGTACATTATTGAAAAAAAGTTACTTTTTTGATTGAACTATTCCTTTAGCACTTATTAAAGGTGCACTGTGGAATATTTGGTTCTTTAAGCAGTTAAAGTTTAAAACTTACACTGGTACGCCCTATCTAAAAAAGTAAAATTCATAACAAAAAAAAATCCATACATAATATCTTTTGACTCATTAAAATCAACTGTTTTAAAATAAACAATCCTACAAATGTCTATGGACGTGACAAATTGACATTTCCTGCGAAACCTCATTGGAGACCTCAAATTATTGGTTAGTATTATTAGAAGAACAGAATGGGTGTAAGACAAGGAGACAAATTCAGAAACAGATTTTTAAATTTTTTTTTTACTTTCTCAATAATTGATTTTTGTTCATTTGTAGTGCACCTTTAAGTGTTATGGAATTTATAAGAAAAGTAGGACGCTTAGCATTGTGGATGAAAGAACCATGTGTTTTGCCATTTTGGTGTGTATTTTTACCTGATTTCCAGCAATGAGCACCGCGCCTGGTGCAGGATTGGGGCGGTACGGAATTGTAGCACCCTTTGGAGGAGACTGCAAACATACAACAATTATTAATTTTATCTTAGAACTTTTCAGATTCACCCTTGATATTAAACTTTGAATATCATTCTCGGCTCATTCGACAATAGCGCTAGAACATCTAGAACAAATCAAGGTTTCTCTTACCTAAGGCATTTGCAAAGTCATTTGGTCATATGACTGGAAATGCTGACACGGTGCACAAATGCAACATTTATCGATTGGCTCTTCATCGGATCACTTAAAAGCATACCATTATCCTCTCACAGGAAGTCATTTGGCCAAATTATTTCAGAATGCTATTAATGCTCGCTCGTGATATCCTCAGATGGAAAACTTGCAATGCTGAAAATGTGCCCTGAGCATGTTTTCTTTGAGTAGCATCATAAGTCTGTTGTTCAAACCTACATTTTACACCTACAACTTTAAAAAGGAATACAATTAATTTACAAAATGACTCTGAAATCACTCTTGGCCTTTTAGTCCAAGACAAGGTGTCATCTTGTCCTGAAGGACATCTTTTATAAAATAAAACATAAGTACGCCGATAACTGACTGTACCTGCTCATATGTAATTCGATTAAGAGGTCAGAATAAGGCCAAAGTGATGAAAACCCAGTGAAGCGCATCCCCCACAATTGCTCTCAACCAAACAAAAAGAATCTTTTTAAATATTCATTGGGTGACTTTGTATAATTTGCATCCTGGAGCAGGCAGACAGCTGAGGATTCCTAAAATGGGCAGTGTAGCCGTCAACAATCTGCTCCTCATCCAGTCCATTAAAAATTAAACAGAACGAGCAGTTCGCATTCAGCACAATCCCACTGAATAAAAAGTATAAACTCTTTTTCTCAACCATTTATGTGCAAAGAAACCCATTTGAGAGCAAATGCATTTCACGCTGTGTAAGAGCTGAGACCACATTCACTAATCATTACTGTAATGATTTTTAACATGCAGTTAGTTAGATCAAGTATCTTTGGGAAAAAGTATTTGACATGCAAAAAGCAATAAAAATATCTGTTTAGGCTCCAGAAATGTATCATATCCATTTATCAACGCCACTAAAGCTAAAACTGAAAACCAGTATGCGGTCTTTGAAGCACAGAAGCCTTTGAAGTCTTGCAGATTAGGAATATCACACAATAGTCATCCACAACAGTTTTTCAAGGCCAATGCATGCATAAAAATCTTGTGTTAATGAAGCCAAATGGATTTGCTCGGAGTCAAATTACCTCCAGTATTACAGTGCAGATGAGCCTGACACACTGGATGATGGCATCCTGACTGCCAGATATTGTCACACCTCTCTCTGTGGAGTTAGGCAGAAGATCTCCTGCCACCTGTACCTGAGCCCCTGTTTTCTGCCAAACCAAGGAAGAACAGATCATTAGTACACTGTTTTGCCTAGGTCAGATCTGTCCAATCCTGCTCCTGGAGAGCCAGCTTCATGCAGAGTTTAGCTCCCACACACACCTATCTGACAGGTGAGACCTTAAATAGCATGTTTAGGTTGAGATGTCTTTATTTAGGGTTGGAGTTCAGTAAGAACTTGATCCTATAAAAGCAGGATTGGACACCCCTGACCTAGGTAACGGAAAATGAGGACCAACCCAAACCTTAAAGGGATAGTTCACCCAAAATATGAATATTCTGTCATTAATTACTCACCCTCATGTCGTTCCAAACCCATAAGACCTTCGTGCAGCTTTGGAACACAAATTAAGATATTTTTGATGAAATCCAAAAGCTTTCCGACCCTACATAGACAAGGCCCAGAATGGTGGTAAGAACATCTTTAGAATAGTCCATGTGACATCATTGGTTGAACCTTAATTTTATAAAGCTATGAGAATAATTTTTTTGTGTGCAAAGAAAACAAAAATAATGACTTAATAATGGCACCACATGGTACTCTCGTGAATGCACGGAAGAAAATATATTGTTGAATAAAGTCATTATTTTTGTTTTCTTTGTGCACAAAAAAGTATTATCGTAGCTTCATAAAATTACAGTTGAACCACTGATGTCACATGGACTATTATAACAATGTCCTTACTACCTTTCTAGGCCTTTAACGTGGTAGTTGCGTTGGTGTCTATGAATTTCATCAAAAATATCTTCATTTGTGTTCCAAAGATGAACGAATATCTTACAGCTTTGGAATGACATGAGGATGAGTGATTAATGACATAATGTCATTTTTGGGTGAACTATTCCTTTAACTTTACTGCAATTAGATCTTTCTCTTTGAAAATGTGTCCAAACTGATTTAGATAACTTAGATAACTTCAAGCAATTCCCCCCTTAAGTATTGCTAGGTTAAAACCACCAAATACACATACATTTATAATCAAAACCATGGTGGAAACACTCTTGAATCCAAGAGTTCCTTAACCAAACCCCATGAAGCAAGAGGGTAAAACTAATACATTGAGATGCACTGTGTTTACTTGGTGCTGCTAACTTGAAAGCCTCCAACAACCTTCCCCACACCCCCCGCAACTGCATTACGGAACACACCAAATTTAGCATGACAGACCATTCACCATTACCTCATACCATCTTGACAGCCCAGAGACCATAAATGTAAAATAAATGGGCTTTTACTGACATCCAAACCCATTAAATATGCAAGGGAGCAAGCAGTCCTAACATGGACATCCTGGGGAGGAGGAAAGAAAGATAGGGATATGGAAAAGCACTCACCTCTCTGATCTCTTTGATTTTGGAGCCACCCTTGCCTATGAGGGAACCGCACTGGCTGGCCGGGATGACCAGCCGCAGCGTGACTGGAGGCTTACTGGTGACTGTGCCATTCGCCACAAGAGCAGCCAAGTCCTTGAGGGCCAAACATAGAATGAATGACGTGTTAACTGAAAGTTGTACTGTGGCTTTTATGGTATCTTTCAAAAGAATAAGGATTTTGATTCTGAGTGGTTTGGAACCACGCTTAAAGATCTGGTCTGGTAAGTAGAACGTTTTAGGATTGAACCTTCAAGCACTGATCCATCACTATTGTACCCTTGAGCAAGTGAATGAACCCCAGGTTACCCCCGGAGGGAATTGACCCTATGATGTCCTCATGCTACCAAGACTACTTCTACCAGTTTAACCTGGATTTTCTAGAGGGAATCAACAACACTGGTATTTCCAAACACGAAATGGGTGCTGCCAACTGTTCCCATATTTTGCTGTAAACAAGCAAAAGTAAAAAATAAATGTGTTACCTGATTCAGGTAAGAGATCAGAGGCTTGGTTGTAAATAAGGGACAGCATTGCTCAACAAGATTTGAGGCACGCCGTGAATTAATCTGGTGATTCCCCTTTGAAGGATGTCCTCATAATTCACAAGGATTGTTAATGTACTTTCTTTGTTCCAAGGTTTGAAAATGCCATTCGTGGCTTTTGATTGCAATCTGATGAAATGTTCTTTACCAAAGCCACTGTAATCAATTTCCCTATTCAGACTTTGCAGATCGATGTGCCTCGCTATCAAAAGGTTATAGCTGACTGAACACAGTTGCACCGCTGTCGAAGACACCAATTGATTTTTATGACCAAATTAAACGATATTTACCCACCTGTCATTCACTCTGGTCTCTATCAAGATGTGACATGCATTCGCAAGGTGCGAAAACAGAACCCCAATAAAATAGCACATCTTGGCTTTTCAGAAATTTCTTATGGTTATTGCTTAAAGTAGAGCTATGCCTTCAAGTAGAGGAGGACAACTAGCGTTCCACTGTCATATTCCGGCCACTACAAGAAATCAGCTTTAGCGTCCATTATTCACGCAGTGCAGTTTCCGAGGCTTTCTCTTTAATTAAACCAGGTAATAAATATCAGCCCGAATCGTGGCCCACCACTGCTGCAATCAATTAGGGGGGAGCAGGAATCTTGCCGGGTTTGAAATGTTAATAGCGTGTGCTGTCTCTCTGCCAATCAACCCAGACCTCACCTACGTGAGCCAAATGAATACACCTCAAGTGGCGTCTCGGAAAGTAGAGCTAGTGAGTCTTTTTCTTCTCTGTTTAGTGTTTCCATCAGCACTAGGGGTTTGGAGACGCTGTTTATTGTGTTCGTTCAACGTCTCGCCCCGAAACCTCTAGAGAACGAAGGGGAGGTGGAAAAAAAGAAATCTGTGCATCTTTTCTTGCCGATGCTGTGGAAAGGAATATGGCTGACTGAAAAGATATTCTCTATTTGTTTCTGTTCCCAGTGCCTCTTTGTGGCCCTCTGTAGTATTTCTCAGTAGAATTAGGAGTGATATTAATATGCCTCATTCTTAATAACAGTGACTAAAGGATATCCACTCCCCTGATTCATTCTTGATGTAGGACGTCACACAAAGCCTTTACCCCTCATCCCTCTCGTCTCATTTAACAACCCTCCTGGATAATAAAATATCAATTTAGAAATTACTCTCAGCAGATTGACTCTGTCTTATTTGCATATTAGCTGTTGAGTAAGGGGGTCCTGGCTCAGAATTTATGACAATTTGTAAAGGCTCTTGATCTGATGCAACTAAAGAGCTGTTTTAAAGCTGCAATCTAAAGCTTATGCAACAACAACTCAGGGTTGACAGCATGCGGGTGAAGTCAAAAACTATTTCTGAAGCAAAGCAAGAAATGTTTAGTGCCATTCAAGTGCCTTCTGTTGTTCTAGTACCACAAATCAACAGCAACAATATAGCATTCTATAAATTATACAAAAAAGTACAAATAAATTACCCTTGTTTTGTCTATTTTATGTAGATATGGCTCTCAAGCATTAAAATGATGATGATAAATTATTATTATTATACACTGTAACATGATTGTTTGAAGTTGTAAATAATACATTAGATTAAATATTCTAATGTAAATAATATATTAGAATACATAAGCTTATTGGTTGAAGTTTTACAAGAAAATACTTTTCTGCTTAAATTGAATGTTTGATTCAATGTGTTACATGTAATTTATTTGTAATTACTTGTGAAATGTACCATATATTTAATTATGTTGTAATAATAATAAATCTATCATGGCAGATTTCTAATGTGAATGCATTTAGTTTTATATTTATTATTTTAACATGATTGCTTAATAATTTAAACAGGGTTCTGTTACTGATTCCAAATTACATAAAAAAATTGATTGTTAGTAAGTTAGTAACGTAATCCATTAAATTCCATATTTTAGGTAATATAATCGGACAACTTTTTGATTACTTTTATATTTGTTTGTCACATTGATTTAAATAGGATAATCTTATACCATATTGATATGAAATACAAAGAGTAAGAAAATATATTACATTTGTTGTTATTAACAACATGAAGTGCATTAAACATTATATTATTTAATGGTATCCCCAACTGAGTTTCGGAACTGCAGGGGGTTCATGGGTTTAATGAAATGCTGATAATTAATCAGATCACAAAAAAATGTAAAATTAAAGTAAATAATTTTAAAATAACATCAATGAAAAAAAAAAACGCACTTACTAAAAAATGAAATATTTCATTTGTGTGAACATTGGGAACATTAACCAACATCAGAGAAGCGTGATCAAGCAAATGTGATATATATATATAATTATTAAAATATTTATTTTAAAATCTCAAGGGTACTTCAAGTAAATATATTAGGTGAAAGAGGTTTGGCTGACAACAATTTTGGGAATGCCTGCATTACATGGAAATAAAAAAATTATGTGAATTTATGCAATATTAATATTCATTTTTACATTGTTTGCCAAAATGTTAGCACATAAAACCATGTGGAATTATTAGTGAATAAGACCTAGTGTCTTAGTGTCCCATGGCATGCCCTGTGAATTTTTAGCTAAAAAAAACCCAACTCTGTTCTTTTCTAGTCTAGACTTTCACAGTCTTCTCCCTAAGCTCCGAAATTCTTTGTCTATTCTGTCATATATCATCCGAAACTCTGAAACATGGTTTTTAGATGTCCTCCATGTTCTCAGCTGACTGAAAGAGCGGGCAAAAACCTTCTGGATCAAAGCTGGGCCAGACCTCAATAGAGCTCCTTGTAAAATTCAACCAGCAATGCTCATCATATGCTCGGCATAAACGAACCCCGCCACCACCTCAGGGGTTTCTATGGTGACTCTTCCGTTATGGGTACGGAAACGGGCTTGTGCGGAGGACAGGGAGATTCCTAACAGATGTTTAATGAATGGCACCCTGCCTGCTATGAAAGGATATCAAATACATAATGGATTTAGCAGGAGTGAGAAGATTTGTTATTACTTGGTGGGTGTAGAGCTGACATGCTGCAGGCAGACATACACACCTCATTGACTAGCAGTTATATAACTCTACTGATGCCATTAATAAAAATACGGATGTGGGACGCAAACGTATGTATGTTTCTATAAATTATTGGGTATTTTCAGGTTTACATTTGGCTGCTTATGCATTTACCTTCAAATTTTTAGAATGATTTTTAGATCACGACCTCAGACTCATGCCATTGGTTGAGTTAACGTTGATGTCAGGTGAGAACGTTTAAAAAAAAATACATGACACACATCAGCTTCAAAAGTCCCATCGCGATTTGGGAAGTCTGACACTTTTTTCAGAGAGCTGTATGTCTCTTTTCAGCAATCGTTCACTGGCATCAGCAAGGGAATGTATCGTGTAGGGGCTCAAATTATATTTCTGAGGTTATCCTACAACAGATAGGCACCCCACTGCTATGGGACCGATTGACGATATATGAAAACTACCCACGACTCTTTCATCCAGCTGTTCTTACAAACCATGTCTCAAAATTGCTGAAATTCAAACATGCAGAGTTAAAGGGTGTTCATGCGTTCAGCCTGACAGCTTTATCTCTGCAAATCGTCCGGAAACCATTCAGTTTCTGCACAAGTCAGTTATTTGCAGACTGTGGACGATGCAATACATTTAAAAAGGTTTTGAATAACATTAAAGTAATTATTTATTGGTATCATCGAAATTTTTATGTTAATTTTTTTTCTCTGTTATTATGCCCTATTTTAACAATTGAAGCGCATGGTCTAAAGTGCATGGCGCAGGTGCACTTAGGGTGTGTCCAAATCCACTTGTGCTAGTTTAACGACAATAAAAACGGTCGGCGCGCCCGGCGCATGATCTAAAAGGGTTGTCCCTATTCTGTTAATGAGTCATGGGTGTGTTTTGGGCATAACGTGCAATAAACCAATCAGAGTCTCATCTCCCATTCCCTTTAAGAGCCAGTTGCGCTCGTGCCATGGCGGATTTGCTATTTACACGGCGGAATTTGCAAGCGCAAAGACAGAACGCATCTCCAGAGATGAAACGGAGCTGCTCGTGCGCGAACAAATAGGTAGCCTAATTCTGATACATGCAATGACTATCCATTATGACATGTAGGAATTTTTATATTTATGTAGCCTACACAATAATAATCTTTTACATTGCAATTGCAATTTTTAATATTTGGCATGTTTGTGTGCTGCTGTGCGTCCCTGTGTGTGTAATAAGCAGAGTGTATGCACGTTGTGGACCCACCTATACTAACGCGCTCGTTAAATAACAAAAAAACTACTGCGCCATTTACTTTAGACCAGGTTTTAGTTCGTCAATGGTGCAGTCTATTTCAGCTGCCTCAAAATAGCAACACGCCAGCAATGCGCCTGAACACACCTCGTTTTCAGACCAGCACGCCCATGGGCCCACAAATGGGCGCAAATGCATTTGCTATTTAAACAACGTGGCACAGGATGTGAAAATGACAACTGTGTCGGGCTGAAACTAGCAAAAAACACTTGCGTCGCACTTGGCGCCGCATTGCACCAGATGTATAATAGGGCCCATTAAGACTAGGAACATGTTTTAATGAAAATGAAAATTTGCTGAAAATTGTTCTTGATCTGTGAATATTTCTCTTCTTATTCAGGCAAGATGACTTTTTTCACTGGAGTAAACAATATTATGAAGAGAGGCCTTCATTGTTGAAGAACTGATTATTGTGATGTTTTCATTATGTGTTTGGACTCTCATTCTGACGGCACCCATTCACTGCAGAGGATCGATTGGTGAGCAAGTTCATTAGTGCTACATTTCTCCAAATCTGATGAAGAAACAAACTCATCTACATCTTGGATTTTTGATTGTGATTTTTTCATTTTTGGGTGAACTGTTTCTTTAAGAAGCGTTCATGCTGACAGCTTTATCACTGCAAATTGACCGGAATGCATTCATTTTTGACAAACATCAGTTATTTGCACATACTGTTGACGATGTGACAAATCTGAGTAGATTTAACAGCTTTAAGTAATTATTCATAGGTATAAACACATTTTTTATCCAATTTCCATTAGTCTTAACTAATAAGGTCAGTTTGACTTTTTTATGGGACTGTTTCTCTAACATTAGCGAAATGACATGCATGTTTTTATTATATTTTATGCTTATTGCTCAGCGTGCTTGTATATGTAAGAGTGGTTTTCCTGTACTTACCTCCTCCAGTTTGAGTGTGATCATAGTGAAGGCTCTAAACACACACTCTGTGGCACCCGTGATGGTGATGATTCTCTCTGGGCATGAGCCTTCTGAGATATTGATACGTGCACTGCTCTGTAAGGATGGAAAAGTAAAGGAACAGTAAATGGATGGGAGGTTGATAAAGAGAAAGAGGGAAAATAAACTAAATATTATGCATTTACTCTAGTACGAAGTATTTCTGCTCAAATGCATAGGAAAGTTGTGGCCTTGCTTGTATTGTATTTTAACCTCAGAAATTAAATATGCAGGAGGTATGTGTGCATTTTTAAGCACATAAATTAATAAAAATGCATTTTCTTTCTACATCAGGTAGGATACCAACAGTACTTGAACCACCAACTGTTTTTTTAACTCCAATTTGGCAAAAACACCTTAATCCATAATGAAGAATTTTTTTTTTTTACCATATTCAGCATTGTAAAAAAAAACATAATATCCCACAAGACATTCCTATCCAGACAGGATTAGATTTCTCAGAGGATGCTCAAGGAAATAGTAGGCAATCTGTTCTGTATTTTTTAACCAGGGCTGTGCAAGAAAAACGCAGGCGTGTTCGATTCAGATGGGATTAAAATCACAACATACATCTGTAAAACACAAATTTACCTGACCTCCTCAGGGAAACTAGTTCCGCCCGCATAGGCCTTATGTTAGGTGTGCGTATCGTGTGTGTTCTGTCTAAATGTGTGGATGTCTCCAGCAGAGATCTGGACTGAGCTGCATGTTTCATTCTCTTGAAGGGCTCTGACTGTCAGCTTCATTTAAACTGATCTCTTTATCAATCATGCACAAATGCATGCAAATGCAAGTGAGTTTAGTCAACAGTGTCTTGAAGCTACAGTATAACTTACGTTTTATACAATTTGTATATTAATATTATTTATAAAATAGCAAAAAATGTGTGTGTGTGTATATATATATATATATATATATATAAATTATTATTATTTTTTTTTAAATCACCTGAAACTTATATTACAAACCAACTTATCTGATGCAATTACTGTAAAGCATGCAAACCGTACACAAAGCGCAAACATTTGGCGCCGAAGTTTATTTTTTCAAGTTTAATCTTGTATAGACTTGGTGATTATAATGAATTCCACTATAATTTATGATTGTTTTAAACTGTTTAAACTTTTCATTTCTGTTCTGTTCTGAATTTTTAAAGGATTTGTTGTGGAGTGATAGAAATGAACGATTTATTCAAAACATTTGTATTATAGTGTAGTTTTATTATGCCTTTGAGATTCACAACTATATGATTTTGTCGTATGGAAAAGAGCAGCATGAATATTCTTCAAAATATCTCTTTTTACATTCCACACAAGAAAGTCGTATGGATTTGCTGTGACAGGGTGAGTACATGATGACAGATTTTAATTTCCCCCCCCCCCCTTTCTTTAAGCTCCTTCTGCTAATAAATAGCACAGAACAGCAGAAAAAAACTTCCAGTGGCAATTTCTTCTGTTTATGACATCTATCGGGCCCAGGATTGACCCCTGTGGTGTCCCAACTAATGCAATAGAGAATGCCTCATGCGCAGGCTTGCGTTCACATTTGCCACCCCCCAAACCATTAATTAGGTTGAAAAAATACAATCTTCTAGACATTTTATGTTGTTAGGAAGCAAAAAAACATTAGGTAGAGGTTTAGGCGAGCTAGAGAACTAGAGACAAGAAAGAATTTCTACTGATCAGCACTGTCAGGAAATTATTTTTATTTTTTTATTCTCACAGGGACACGCTCACCCACTCCTGAGTTTTTCTCCTTGGTAACCCACTTCAATCTTTACCCAGAAGCTATTGTTAATAGCAACTACCTTGAAAATTCCAACACATTCATATCAAACTAACGAATTAGAGTCCGCCGCATGTGCGCATCATGCGCCCTTGAGATGAAAGGCTTCATTTAAATATTCATGTCTTCTGCAGTCTTTCAGCTTTAATGTGGCGGACATCAACTGTTTTGAGGACGTATGTGGGATGTAAGGGCGTTTCAGTGTCTTTCTTCCAGCATTAATCCACATTTATGTGTAAGAATGCATGTGGTGTAGTGCCGCACTAGCTTCAAAGGAATACCGTCTGTTCTGCGCGCATGATGCATGCTGGGAAACTGAGAAAGACAATATTTATGAGTAGCATGTAGCTTACCTCCTCTCGTATCCTTTTCACAGTCTCTCCTTTCTGTAGGGGAGAAAAAAAGATCATAAAGCACTTATTGCCTTTGTCTCGCGTTTGTTTGCATGACATGTTGTTTTCCCAGGGTGACTGTCTTTCACAATGGCTTATAGTGGAGGATAAAGTGAGTTTGACTAGTTTAACAGATATCTCAAATTAATATCAATTCTGCTTCACTACACAGCAATATGGCATCTGCATGGATAGGCCTCAGGGGAACAGGTTTTCCAATCGAAGGCCCTGCAATTGGACTGACTAGGGAATCAATAGTCCATGAATCACTTAGATAGCCTCAGATAGTGTCTCGCTATCTCCGACACAAAAGCTAACGTGTGCGGCATAGTCATGACTGCAGACCTGCTTTTGCACGCTTGACTGGCATTTCATTGTCTTTAGATGGGCTAAAAGGATGATTGGATATGTCATAACAGAGGTGAAGCGAGACTTGGGTGGTTTTAATTTATCAGGGAAATTGACATTTCAGATTAAACATTTTCGAGACCACCCATCTCATAAATCTACCCTTAATACGAATAAAATGTCATGCCACAAAGTTCTTTAAAACATCAAACTATGATGCATGTAGCAGTGTTTGCAAATGCTTATTAAATAACCTAAATATAACTTATAACCAGTCCCTTTCAGAGTTGAAACCATATATAACTGAACAAAAACAAGGCTGCAGAAGACCAGAAGTACATTTCTATCATGACAACTCTCTGAGGCTTTGGTAAGAAATATTGCTGCTGCACATATAACATATATGAATAACCCCTATGTAGCATACATGAATAACCCCATAGCAGATCTATACAGGTGGAGCTGGGGAAGGTGGAGGGTTTCTAAAGCACACTGCAACTGCTACAGCAAGCACTAGCCAAGTATTTGAATGTTGAGCAGCAAGCTCATTGACTGCTGATACGAAAAGAACCAATCAGCTGCACCGTGTGATGATGTCATTATGTCAGATCGAGTTAGACCTATTGGACTGCACCATCTAGAGTTTCATGTTAGGATTTTGTTAATATGTCATACTTGTGTGTTGATTCAGCCAATGAAACATTAAAAATGCATATTTAACAAAATGACTGACAAAAATGTTTTGGGGTTTCGTTGTTCATCAATGACAATGTTGGGTTATTATAGTTAACTGACTAACTAAATGTTATTTGAAATAAAATCAACATTAATTGAAACAAAACATGTAAAAAGTATTTCATTTCAGCTTGTTGCCAAAAAAAAAACATTTCTCATATTCATTTAATTTAACTTGATCTACTAAAATCACTAAAAATAAAACTGAAATAAAAACTATTATAAAAAGGACATATACTATGTATAAATATATAGAGATGTTAAAAAACTAAACTCAAATTACAAAAACAACAAAATTACTAAAACTATTTTCTATAATTACAAAAATAAAAAATATATAACTATTAATAAAACCTATAATAGCATTCCAATTATATTAAAATCTAACTTTAAAATTAACTATTTTTTGTGAAATAAACAAATAAAAAACTATAAATATGACAAAGAAAAAACTTGTTTCCGTGAAACCCATTCATACAAAACAATTACGAATTTTGATTCATTGTAACATTTTATGCAAGAATGCTTATTGAAGCCAGCATGAACAAAGAAATGCGTCCTGTTCGTAGTAACCGATTACATGTAATCTGGATTATGTAATCATATTCCAAAAATTATGTACTTGTAATCAGATTAAATTACATTTTATAATACTCATAATCATACTGCAGTTGCTTTTTTTATTGATTACATGATTATCACACAATAGCAATACATTATTTATAATTTACTGATTCTCCATCATTCTTTTTCATCTTTTAAATGTTCTGTGCATACCATTTATTAAAAAAAAAAAAATTACGAATTTCGATTCATTGCAACAGTTTACGCAAGAATGCGTCTTGAACAAAGAAGCCAGCATGAACAAAGAAATTTGTTCTGCTTGTGTTTTTATGAATGAAGCCCACTGTACGCTTGTACTTCCAGTCACTTCCGAGGCCTCATTTTCATTTATGTCAAATTAAACATTGTCCACTGTGGCTGAGCTCTCTTACTGCTTATAATTTACTATTCACCTTCATTCCTTTCTCCTGAAGATGCATTACGAATAGTAATTGACTCTAGGCCGCCCCTCCCCACGAATATCTCCAGTGGAGATTTGTGATGGAGAACCACCGGTAACGGCACAGATTTATTCTAGGATGTGTTTAATCTATGTCTGTGAAACCAAGCCTTGGTTTATTGATTTCACAGTGGGGAGTTATACAATATAGGCCTTCATTTATTTACTATGCTTCAGAGAAAAAAACAAGATAGGGTAAAAGAAGACAACAGATGATGTCAAAACATAATTTAGCTGATCTTTTACTGGAACGTGATTGAGCATTACATGATTATCATTCCATAAATGTCACCTAAAAGCCTTGGGACAGCTGTGTATGATTTCAGCCCTTGGTGAGAGAACATCATATTCAAATTAGCCTGATGAAAAATCTAACTGTGGCTTAAATTAATGCATCAAAAGGATGAAGGCTTTTTCACTTTTTCTTTTTGATACAGCAATGTTACACTTTGATTTAAGAACATTGTCAGTACTGGGAAGTACAGCCAGAAACATACTCTATGCAAGTATTTAAATGCAGACACGAATGCCTGGCCAACAAACTGAATGTGTGCATAACCCCAGAACTTAAGAGGGCGATAGAGTTATCAATGTGTTATAATTCAGATAGTTAGCTAATCATGTAGATGGTTTAACTAACTTAAGCAAACAAGCTCAGCCAGATTCTCTGCAAACAGTTGCTTTGTCCTAATAGTAGTCGATCTGTAATCAAAGAATAAAATATATACGCTAGCTATAGCGCCCCTTGTGGCAATGCAAGAAACGCACACACAGCTGCACAAACTTTTTTTTGTGTGTGCCAGAACACAATATAAAGTTTGCATATGGTAAAAAAAAATTGCGTAAATATTACGTTTGCGTAGCCAGGAAAACGCGCACTCACATACTTGCGTATATTTCAGGCACTACTTGATGCAGCGGTTTCTTTTTATTGGTTGATTAGATCCCTGCTACAGGAAGTGCAGCTAAGCTTATTATTGATTTGTAGTTTGGAAGTTTTAAACAGAATAAATTATGAAATCGAGTTTGTGTAGCAAGGAACGTTTGCATAGATTCTGTTTCTGGCACTGCTTGTTGCAGCTATGCTTTGTTTTTATTGTTCAAAGAGATCCCTGCTACAGGAAGTGCAGCTAAGTTTGTTCTTGATTTGTTGTTTGGATGTTTTAATCAGAACACAATATTAAATCAAGTTTGCTTAGCAGGGAATGCTTGCGTTCACATGTCTGCGCAGACCAGAGCTGGGTAGTAACTGATTATGTAATCTGATTACAAAAATAAAGTACTTGTAATTAGATTAAATTACATCTTAAAATTGTTATTGTAACATTATTACAATTTATAATTTAATAATTTAAAAAAACAGTCATTAGTCAGGTGGCTACACAGCATTTGACCACTCGATTTACAAAAATAATTTCAGGTTTAAGAAGTGTTTCAACATTGCATATCAAAAATACAACTAATGGTACAGGATTATCTGATTTAAATCAATGTGATAAGCGAGTTGAAGTAATCAAAAAGTAGTCTGTCAACTACAATTTTTGTCATGTAATTTGGAATCAGTAACGAACTACAGTTTGTAAGTAATCTACCCATCTCTGGTGCAGACTATGTTTCGGCCATTACTTGTTGCAGTTACCGTTTTTTTTTTCATTGGTTGATGAGATCCCTGCTACAGTAAGTGCAGCTAAGCTTGTTCTTGATTTGTTGTTTAAATGTTTTAATCAGAACGCACTATGAAATCAAGTTTGCGTTTGTGTTCACATATTCTTCATCACTTTTAGGACACTGCAACAGTCTTCATTTTTTAATTATTTTTGTGCAAGACAAGAGTGAACTGTGTTTTCAAGACGACGTATTTGCAGCAATGGAGCTCAGAGCGGTCTGTATCCGTCCGTCTGGCTCTTGTCCTGAGGCCAAACTCTGGCAAAGGCCCAGAGACCTATTAGCAGGCCAGTTCTGAAGAGAGCTTTGTGTATCACAAGAGATTTATTTGGAGCCAAGGAAATGCCAACAACTGTGTGTATTTGTGCGTGTATGTGTTTTGTCACTCCAGGACCCAGAGTTGTCCGAAGCAGGGAAAAAATCCAACAAAAATCATCTCATCAGTAGCTGACACACTGCTTACTAATCATTGTGACATCTACATCGGGCCTCTCCAAGAGATTGTGCCATGTTTAGACAATTGCACTCGCTCTAGGGATAAACAGAGCTAGCTGTAGAATTGAACAGCGTAATATATCCAGATCATTAATACATAAGATGCACGACTCGTCGCATTTAACAAGCCATTTGCTAGGAAACATCAAGTCGCATAGTGATACATTCTGTAGGATTCTAATCTGGGGTTTTGGATTGTAACCTAAAGGTCTGTGAGGAATATTGTGAGAACAATCTAATACAGAGGAAAAAACAAACCCAATAGCGACAAAAATCTCAAGACGCATCCACCAAATCTAATAAGTCAACAGCAGGGACAACAGGAACAAAGAGATACGCTCACCTTGCCTATGATGCTGCCGACCTCCTGTGAAAAGAGAAACAAAGCAAATGTCAGCTTATTGATTACCAAGCTCACTCCTCACTCATCCGTCTGTGGGTTTTGATGAGGTAGGCTGGGTCTGGAGTGTCTGTGCACTTGGGGATCACGTGAAACCATATTAGATCAGGGCCTACAGGCTCTGGAAGCACTTGATAGCTTTTAAATGTCCCATCTTGGGTTTAAAGTCAACACAAAATGGTGTTCATAACCCATTTGATTTATGTGACCAAGAAGTACAATATTTCAGGACAAAACTTGGTTTTATCCATCGGGATTGATTGGATTGCGAAAGTTACTATACACTCTTAAAAACAAAGATTCTTTATTGGCATCAGTGGTTCCATTAAGAACCTTTAACACCATTTCCATTCCATTCATGGAAAAAGGTTCTTCAATGTTCTTCACTCTAAGAAAAAGTGGTTCTGTTCTCAGAAAGGTTCACTGGGGAACCAAAAATGGTTCTTCTATGGCTGGGGTCCTCAACTCTGGACCTCGGGATCCTAGCTACTAAACACACCTACCTGCAACTTTGTAGCAATCCTGAAGACCTTGATTAGCTTGTTTAGGTGTGTTTGATTAGGGTTGGAGCTAAACTCTGCAGGGAAGTGGATCTTAAGGTCCAGAGTTGAGGACCCCTGTTCTATGGCATCACTGTAAAAAACCCATTTTGAAACCTTTATTTTTAAGAGTGTATGGTAGTTTGCTGTGAAGCCATTTTAGATATTAAACAGAAAACATTTTTTCTTCTTTAGAGTAACTTACACTGATTAACTGTTTACAATAATGTGTGTTGATTTCATGTTGACTTTAAAGTATGCTTGACAAATGGGCATTAAAATCACTTGTGAAACTGCAATGCACTTTCTTGTATTGTTTGTCAAATGGCTCAACACACTCTATTGCCAATTTGTTACTATTGTAAGTTTTGGCGAATTGGTGGCTAATTTAAATTAATTTGTACTCATTTGTACGTTTTCGTACGACTGGGTGTAAACAGATTTTACAAAAGTGTACAAATTAGATCATACTAACTGACGATTCGGTTTAGAGGTGGACTTTCATGCTTGATTGTTTTTTAAAAAATCGTATATTCCAATACGAATCATGCTGTACGAATATGCAAACCGTCACCTTTGTTTTCTCGCAGGTGGCGGTTGACTTGTGAAGTGATGTAACTCTGGCTAGAGTGCAGGAAAAAGTCTGAAGGATGATGTTATGTACCACTTATGGCACTATGACTTCATGTACCAAAGTTTCTCGAAAAGTTTTCAGCAAGGATTTGAGTTTTAAACTGCCAAAAATCAAAGGCATCACTTAAGTCTTGAATGATCTCTGTGTTTATCTTCATTGGAAGATCAGATCCCAATCTGTTAAGAATTAAGGTAAATTGGCACATAAATCATATAAATGTGGTGGTTTATTAACGGATCATTATGTTTTCATTGGTTTTTCATGACTGTTTTTAATGACTCATTCCTTTTTAGTAATATGCAAATGAGAAATATCAAGGAGTTCTAGGCATGTGGGTGGAAATCTGTCACTGGCAGCTGGCTGACAGTTAAACGAACATGTTGACACTGTAATGACATGGCAATGAAATCCACAACCATTTGTTTACTAGGAACTTTAGAGAATTCAAGCAGATTCAAAGCATTTAGGAAATGTAAAATACATCAAAGAATCAAGTTGGAAATAATCGTGGCATGATTCTGAACAAGTGAATTACTGTACAAAAGTAATTTTAAACACATAGAAACCAGTGTCTAGTTCAATGATTCAAATAACTTTTGTTCAAATCAAATGTCAAAATATAGGTGAAATAATGTTTTAGCATAACATATATACTGTATATATATTCTGAGCTGTACGCATTAAAATATATAGAAGAAAAGTAATCATACTAAATTGTATTTTTAAATGATTAAAAACTTCTTGCTGACAAATGGGTAAAACCTAGTGGTTTGAAAGATAGTGGCAAAAATTGGTGAAGATTTTAAATTACAATAAATTTGTATTTTTGGTGTCTGCACTGTGATCCTTAAATAGAGTCTTTTAATGCCATTTAATGATTCGTGTTATAAATATGCCTGGCAAGGTTTTTTTTATTTTATTTTATTTTTATATGAACTATTGTTACAATACATTACATTTTAGTGTAATTCATGGTAAAATATATGGCGGTCATTATTTTGGTTCAGAAAAATAAATAAATACATGAATGAATGAATAGGACACATTCTAATGTTTGCAAAACTTTGTTTTGATAAACTTTGACAAAAATAAAATAAAATAAATAATGAATAAAATAAAATTGGAACTTCAGTGAACATTTCTGAATAATGATGGAAACATAATGAACAGTTGAATCATTATTTTAATCCAATTTATCAAAATAACGCATACGGATCACACTTCTCAATACTATCTGCATGCTGAAGTTAAATTAGAGATTATGTTAAAACATCTCTGTATTAATGTGTTGTGACACACAAAACTAGCCTACATTGCTAACAAAATACCATTGAGCATAAGATAAATATTACACATAATCATCCAGCTTCAGTTTTCATAAGAAGTTTATGTATCATCATCAGTATCATTTCAAAATGTAAACATCGGGCTGCTTCTCTCAGGGTTGTCTTGCACCCGAAAACACTGAATGTTTGTGGTGTAAGTGTGTGCGTTTACCTTGCCGTGCATGAGCAGCCGGAGAGTTAGAGTGACGTTCATGCCTCCATCTCCAAAATCCTGCTCACAGTTCATCCTGACGTGGGATTCGGGCCCAGGGAGACGCATGAAAGATGCTCTTCAGATGATGGAATGGGCAGGGAGGGGGGGGAAGGCAGGATCTCTCCTTCCACTCACCACTCTGGAACGACAACACGCAAAACATACGTCAATATTTTAACACTGGAACAAAATGATGCTTTTAAAATGTTGCAGAAAAGCCAACTACAGTTGATGTCATAAGTTTACATCCCCAGAATCTGCAAAGTGTTAATTATTTTAACAAAATAAGAGGGATCATACAAAATGCATGTTATTTTTTTTTATTTAGTACTGACCTGAATAAGAAGTCAAATGCTCACTGATGGTCCAGAAGGAAAAATCCATGCATTAAGAGCCTTTATGCTTTTATATTGAACTGAATGGAGAATGTACATTTTTATTATTTTGCCTAAATATCATATATATATATATGTATATATTTTTTCATTTAGTACTGTCCTTCAGAGGCTACAGAAGATATTTACATGTTTCCCAGAAGACAAAATAAGTTAAATTTACCCTGATCTTTTACCCTTAATGCATGGTCTTTCCTTCTGGAGCATTGGTGAGCGTTTGAACCTTCTGTAATAGTTGCGTATGAGTCCCTCAGTTGTCCTCAGTGTGAGAAGATGGATCTCAAAATCATACAGTCAATGTTGGAAAGGGTTCCAATACACAAAAATGTTGGAAAACCAAAGAATTTGTGGGAGCTGAAGGGTTTTTCTGAAGAACAGCAGGCAGTTTAACTGTTCAGGACAAACAAGGGACTCATGAACAACTATCACTAAACAAAAAAAACAGCTGTGGATCATTCAGGTAACAACACAGTATTAAGAATCAAGGGGATGTAAACTTTTGAATGGGGTCATTTTTATAAATTCAACTATTATTTTCTCTTGTGGACTATATGTGAATGTCTTTTATGTAGAATATCTTATTCAGGTCAGTACTAAATAAACAATAACATGCATTTCGTATGATCCCTCTTATTTTGGTAAAATAGCCTAATTAACATTTTGCAGATTCTGAAAGGCGCATGTAAACTTTTGACATCAACTGTAGGTCCATATTTATTGCCTTCATTGCAACCGAACATTGAGAGGCTGGGACACATGGGAGAAGGTTGGGTGGGATTGGGAAACGACCCCGGCCTAGATTCGAACGCGTGGTGGTTTCTGTTTGCCTTGACAGGAGTCCGCATGTCTCACAGCAGTAAATAAGATGATATGTAATAGCCACGCCATCTGCTCTTACGTGCGAAGTGTTCAGTTAAGTGAGGACAACCGTGACACCCCAATCCAACAATGGCTCAGCAGCTGAATGATGACAATGAGGGCCACCAAATCCAGTATCACCAATTTGGCCAATCTTACAAAGCAGGAGAGGACGAGGGGAAGTGCTCGCTGAAATTACTCCCGCTGCATTCGCCGCACTTTTTGGTGACGGCCCAGAAGTGGAGCGAGAGGTGATGCTGAGTTCAGCAATTTTTTTCCTTTTTCTTTTTGATACAGGAAATTGAAGGGTTTTGTGCAACCGTGGCTCTAAAACAGGCTCCGTTGAGACCTTTTATTAGGCAGTATGGTGTAAAGAGCAGTAGGAAATATCTAAGATAGCAAATTTGAAGTGATTTTGAATCAAATGAGCCATAATAATTTGATATGCATTCTAAAATCCCTGAATTGCACAAACACACGCACATAGCAATGAGAGAGGTGATTTTGGAGGAAGGATAATTTCAAATTGAGTGCATGACATGTGGTTCAACCAACATTCTGATCAAATGAAATTAAATGAAATAGGCCTTCATGACTGTGTGCAAAGGTCAATATGTAAAATATGAGATAATTGTACCTTTTTATGACAAAAGCTGAAAGTTAGTTCAAAACCATTTAGAAAAATAAGATTTTTTTCAAAAACAAACATTGTTATTGTTAACTAAAACTAAACCGTTTTCGGTAACTGAAAAAAACCCCAAAAAATAATAAATTCTAAATATTAAATGAAACAACTTTAACGTAAAGAAATTAAAATTGATGCATTGGCAAGTAAAAAAAAAAAAAAATTGTTTTTTACTAGAAATTACTAAAACAAATAAACTCAAATCACAGCTACATAGACATACCGTATGCTAAACAAAAACGAATAGAAATGAGAAAAGCACATAAAATTACTATAAATAAAAAAGTAACTTCAACTGAAACCTGAAATAATAATAATAATAATAATAATAATACAAAAAATTATGTTTGGCAACTAACTGGAATACGTTTAAGGGTTTTAGTATCTTTTTTCATTTTTTAAGTCATTATTTTAGTTTATAGTAACTTGATGTGCCTTTTAGTTTTTGTTTAAAATATATAAAATATAATAGTTGTTTTATTTTTTTTTAAAGTAGTAAGTAATTGTAATGCTTTAACTTTAATTTCAATTATGCATCATTTCTAATTTTAAGTGTTTTAGTTTAAAATTGATCAAATTTGAAATAATAACAAACAAAACTCATATAGAATAAAAAAAAAAGAGAAAGTACATAAAATTAGTAAAACTGAAAATCCAAAAATAAAAGCTAAGGCAAAATATTTATACATGCTATAAAAATACATAAAACAAGCATTTTTCTAAGAGCACGGAACAACTAGGTTTTTCTTTTCTTTATTATGGATCCACTTATATTGACTCCATGTTGTGTCCGCAAGTAATCAGAGTCTCACAGTAAGAAAAGAAGAGTTTGGTGAAAGAGTTGATCTTAAAAAAGACAGAAAAAAAAGCATTGCAAAATATTTCATTTGTATCCTCCATTTCCCAAGGGATCAGAATTAAGCCCAGTTAAAGGAACACTCCACTATTTTTGAAAATAGGCTAATTTTCCAACTCCCCTAGAGCTAAACTGTTGAGTTTTACCGTTTTCGAATCCATTCAGCTGATCTCCAGGTCTGGCGGTAGCACTTTTAGCTTAGCTTAGCATAGATCATTGAATCTGATTAGACCGTTAGCATCTCGCTCAAAAATGACCAAAGAGTTTCTATATTTTTCCTATTTAAAACTTGACTCTTCTGTAGTTACATCGTGTACTAAGACCAACGGAAAATGAAAAGTTGCGATTTTCTAGGCCAATATGACTAGGAACTATACTCTCAAATAGGCTTATTGGAAGTTACCTAGCTGGGGACTATTTTCAGGCTCTGCGTAATATCATTGCGCCTGCTGCACCCATAGTACGGCAGCAAAGTTCCTTGATTATTACGCCGGAATGAGAGTATAGTTCCTAGCCATACCGGCCTAGAAAATCACAACTTTTCATTTTCCATTGGTTTTAGTACACGATTTAACTACAGAAGAGTCAAGTTTTAAATAGGAAAGTTGGAAAATGAGCCTATTTTCAAAAATAGTGGAGTGTTCCTTTAACACTCAAAAACTTCCATCAGCTTCTAAACGTCCCCAAAATTAGCCTACACGCGTTATAATTTAAAACGTGATTGGCAAGTGTTGTTAAAGCTTCAGGGTGAATGAAATAAGCTCTCGGCTCTCAGAGGAACTGCTACATCAGATGTCACGGGTGCTAAAACTGCGGCATCACAGCATGCTAATGACGAATGAGCGCTAAGATGATTCCTTGAACATCTGCTCGCCGTAACACCACCCAGATTCACCCACATCGCGCTTTCTGAAATCTGCCGACAGGTTCATTAAAGCTGCGTTTGCCGCTCAATTACAGGTGTGGGTGTGTGTTTTCAGATAACATCAGGAGACAGCCAAGATTTCAAAGGGGCGGCACATCAGTCGGTTAGGGCTCTGAGAAAGTAGGTCAGAAATCCAAAAAGCGAAGCCGAGAGGCGTCGGTGAGGCCTGTGTAGGAGTTTGGCAGTGTGTCATTTGGATAGTCGTGTCCACGGGTGGTGCTGGTGTATGCACGTCATTAGTGCAAAGCGATTGCTACTTGTGCCTGTCTCATTTTTTTTCTCGTCCCTCAAGGCGATCCACCAAATAATTAGAAGAAGAGGCAGCGAGAGGAACGAGAGCGAGATGATGGTGCCCACTGGTTCGCAGTTGAATGTATTTCTGGATCTTCTGTTGGTCCCGGAACAACAGAAACATAGTCGTAATACCTCAACTCTAAATTAACATTAAACTAGGGCCCTATGAATGTTTTCTTTATTTTAATTTTTCCCCTCAAAATTCTGTTTTATTTTTTTTCTCCCCAAATTCTGCGTTTTTCATTTTATTAAAATTTTTTTCTGGAGTCATTTTAATGGTTCAATTAAATTGTATTAAATCATAAAAGGTCTAATGAACTGAATTCATAAAAGCTTAGCTGGAATTAAAAATCAAACAAAAATCAAAGCTATTTGTGACCCTGGACCACAAAACCAGTCCTAAGTCGCTGGGGTATATTTGTAGCAATAGCCAAAAATACATTGTATGTATGTATTGTATACATATTGTATGTATTGTATTTATGCCAAAAATCATTAGGATATTAAGTAAAGATTGTGTTCCATAAAGATATTTTGTAAATTTCTTAACGTAAATATATCAAAACTTAATTTTTGAATTGTAATATGCATAGCTAAGGACTTTATTTGGACAACTTTAAAGGCGATTTTCTCAGTAATTAGATTTTTTTGCACCCTCAGATTCCAGATTTTCAAATAGTTGTATCTCGGCCAAATATTGTCCTAGCAAACCATACATCAATGGAACGCTTATTTATTCAGCTTTCAGATGATGCATTAATCTCAATTTCCAAAAATTTACCCTTATGACTGGTTTTGTGGTCCAGGGTCACATATAAAAATATTTTAAATGAAAAATAATATAAATGAGAAAAGCACATGAAATTAATACAGATAAAAAATAACTTCAAGTGAAACCTTAAAGAAAGAAAGAAAGAAAGAAAGAAAGAAAGAAAGAAAGAAAGAAAGAAAGAAAGAAAGAAAAATATGTTTGGCAACTAAATGGAATAAGTTGAATTAATTTCCCAAATTCTATGTTTTTAATTTACAATTTTTTTCTGTACTCATTTTAATGGTTTAATTAAATTGTATTAAATCAAAAATGTATAATAAACTGAATTTATTAACTTTTGCTAAAAATACCAAA